TTCTTATAAATTGGTAGTGTTGAAGTGAAATAAAAATCTCACTTTCTCATGATTAAATCACTCAAATCCAGATATATTAGTAATCCGGATATATCGGTAACCCAGATCTTTTTTCGAGCTTGCAAAGCCTTAGTCAATAAAATCCACATGTTAAACATGTCCAATATTCAGGAATGAAGAAAAAATAGTTATGCCCAATACATGTTAACCAAATATGGTTTAAACTATATTAATAATCTAAAAATACTAAAAGCTTGGTTACAATTTCGCATTGTTTATTAAATCAAATCTGAGTTCATCATATTTGAAAAGATTTAAACCTTTTACAGGATGAGCTAGAGCATCCAATAATGTGTTATGTTCTAATACTCCAAATGAATTAGATCTAGAAAATGCGACAAATAATCTATTTTTTGCTTTCTTAGATAAATTAAAAAGGTGCATGGTAAATAGTCTAAAAAAGATGAAATGTTAACAAGCTTCTCAGGCTTGATAAAGTTTTTTTAAAGCATCTTCACCAAAATATCTTTGATAATCCTATCTGATATATGTTTTTCTAGGATCCCAATAATTGTTCTGATCATTATCACTATCTTCATTATTACTATCTTCTTTGTTGATGTCAGATTCGCTATTGTTATTATCATCTATATTGATGGGTACGACTTCATTATCTAATAATCCCAAAGGCTCCAAGAATTTGTGTACCTCAATCTTATTACCAGTACTAATATTAGAATAAGTTTGTTCCATAATGATAATATACCAAAATACCTAATCTTCAATTTAGGTTATTTAGCTTCTTTTGTTCTGCAGATAAGGTTATGTGATTTAACTGCCTGTATTATATAGTGGGTTATGTATTTTTGCAAATCTATGAGGAATAGATTAATAAATAATTAATCTGCCAATTTTTTTTTAGAACGTTTTGCATATTACATCTATTATGAATCTTTAAATTAGTATTATGCAAGTCAATCTGATGTCTCTGATGTTAAAATAGAACAAGAATAGAAATTATGCCAGTGATTTACAGATCTGATCCTACGAAATATAATGGGCACTATAGCATTATCTATTCTACATAATAAAATTCTATTATGGATCATTGGTAGATTTGTATGGAGTATGAATTGGGGTTTAAAATGACATAGTTATGCAAAAAAAAATGCATGTGATCTTCCAGATCTTGTATGATCTTAGCAATAAATAGTATATTTCTCAGTGATAACTTCATCTTTATTACTGCATATTAATTTGGTATAAAACTCTAACTGGTAATCATCAGATTTTCTTTAAAGCATTATTATTAAATGAGCTTAAATTCGGTAAACAAATTGCCAAATCCGAAATTAATATCTAATTTTTTTAGTCGTGGAGGATACACTATAAAATAAGCTAAGTATAATAAAAGTTTGTTGTAAGAAACTTATTTATACTTGCTTTGCCAATATCATTATGTCCCTTGTTAATCTCCAAAACTTTGCTCTTAATATTTTAAAAGAAATGAAACATGATAGGGTACAAAATATCGAAGTTACAGAATTTCCATCATGTAAATATATAATAAAAAAATTTTAACAGTTAACTTTGAATCATTTACAATACTTCCATGCAGTCATGCATATCATAGAAAATGTATTGAAAAAAATTTTTTACTTATGAAAGTGAACAAATGTCCTATTCCTAATTGTGACAAAATTGTTGATCCAGTAATATCTGAATGAAGGTTTTCTGAATCATCTTAGTCTAGTGGAACTTCAGCTATTGCAGATATGTTAGATAATAAATAATCTTGGGTTAAATTCACCAATGAATATATTACTATTATTACTCTTATTTAATAAGACTACTCAGAAAAAACGTACTAGGGAATCATCTACATCTACTAAAAAAATATCTAGCAAGAAGGTAAAAAAAACTGGCAGGAAGAAGGTATCATCTATGTTAAAAAAACTTATCAAAGAATTATTAGCTAATACACCTGTTCCCACTATTGGAGAAAACTTAGAAAAAGCAAATGAAAGTGCAACCAGTATTTTTTTACAACTCTCCAATAAGATTGATAATGCTGAAACTAAAAACGAAGGTGCATCTTGAGGTTTTATTTTCAGCTATTTTGATTTTGAGGAGGCTGTATTTAAACAATATAAAGAATTAAAACCCAAACAAAGTAAGAATAGATCTTAAGCATTAGTCAAGAGTAAGGTTAGAGAGGTGATTCCTGAGGCAAAATGTTTTGACGAAGCTTTGCAGAAAAAGATAAAGAGATCTGAAAAGGTTTATAAGCTTTTTAATAGTATAGGCAAAGAAAAAATATCACAAATAAAATCTACCCCTCCAGGTTTTATCTTAAATCTAACTAAGGATAAAAAGGATTATGTAATAGCTGAAATCTTAAAATAAAAGGTTTGTTAATATACTGTGCTATTTCTTCTACGCAATTAAATCGAGCCTGGACACTGTGTCCAGACTTTACTATCAGAAAAAACAGAATTTTGTTTACGTGTATTCTCAAATATATAATAAAGCATTTGTATATCCCGCTCATATCAGGCTTGATTTTTTAAATGTGTATAACTGATTGCCAAACATTATAAAAAATAATTTGCCAAGCCAGGACACTATGTCCAGACTTGAATGACTTATGAAGTGCCTTAATGGCTAGCTATTTCGAAAGATAAATTTAACCCCTTTTATTCAAAAAAGAAAGGCTAGCTAATTGATAGGTTATCTTCTGCAGATCAAAGATCAATGGAGGAGTTTGGGCTGGCACCTATATCTATAAAATTAATAAAATTATAGAATAAACATGTATGGATAGACAGCATACAAAAATAATTTTTCTTACTGCTCTGCCTTCTTGCAATTCTTGCTCAAAGTTAGTTAACAGATTTTTAGTTTCTGAAATAGTTAATCATATATCTTTTTTTGAGCTTGCGAGAAAAAAAGAATGCTTACTTCAGAAGATTTAATTACATGCGTGTTATTTTTCATAATACTGATCACTTTTTAGCATTCATCTGTATCAGTAGACTGTTTGGGAACTGAAAGGACTATGTAAATAATATTTTATTTATAAAATAAAAAAAGTTACCAGAAGCCAGCCTACAATATATAAAAATTGCTATTACATTTTTCTACTGAGATTCTTGAATATCTAAATATACTATAATGTGAATATCTTTTTGGAAATGTTGCTTGGGAAAATAATCAAGAATATTGTGCATTGGAATTAGCAGGTTTGTTTTTAAAAATACTTGTAAAATATATATTTGCACTTTTTTAATGCAACCACGTTCTATCAACTGCTTTTTTCACCAGAATTCAGAACAAAACTTTGTACTGAACCTTTTTATTATTAATTACAGCTTATTTTTATTAGTTCAGTATATACTGTAATAAATTGACACGAAATAGTATGCAATATAAATGACTTGGCATTGCAATAATTAAATACAAGTCAACTAATATTTTTTATTTATAGCACAATAATTTCTACAGTACAAATAATTAAATTCTTTATTAAATTCAGCACCACAATTATTGGACACAGCAAATCTATTAACTTATTGAAAGTAATAATTTTACACACTATATATATATTTAACACTTCTTTATTTATGCTATTATAACAAAACATGTTGATTAAATTTTTTGAGCCTGTGAGAAAAAAGAAATCTGATAATCCATTTCTGCCTTCTTGCGATTTCATCGCTCGAAGCCAGATATATCGGTAATCTAAATATATCTTTATGAGAAAAAGATGAAATGAGAAAAAAGGGGTCGAAGCAATAAAAACTTAATAATTAATGGCTGGCATTAAACTTTATGCGGTATTACCTTAATTTCTCAGTCAATTTTTTATTAACAAATATTATGAATAATGCGAATATGTAGTGTGAATAATGTCTAGACCCTTTTTATGATCCTGCAATAAGAATAAAACTTAAAAAGGCTATAAGGGCAATGAGTATAACATTCTTAATCAGTAGTTTTATCAAAATTTATATATTGTAGGAACTTGGAATTTCCAGATTGTCGAGTTCGTTAACTTTTTTACTTTGCAGAAGAGATCATTGAATTTATGGGGGTTAATTTTACCAGAAAAAATAACAAAATAGACTCAGTGTTTGGAACTTATAACCGAGCAGAGTTGCTTTGTTAAGTGTGGTATGGTATTGTATTAGAGTAACGTAATTACTAAGCTTGTGATTTTTCTTCTGGCAGGTTCACTAAATCTAATAAACATGAAGTATAAAATAAGCAATTTTTTTGTTTCTTATAGAGTGGGTTATAATAATATTTTTTTTTGTCAATACATATTTTGCCTGTTTATTATTTATTTTTAAAGTAATGTATTATATTATTTAATAGTCTATAAAAATAAAACTTTACTTACTATATTTTTTTTATTTAGAAATGTAAAATGTCCACTAATGATAATACTACCCTACAACCAATGACACCACCCCCACGACTAACACTACCACCACTACTACCATTACCACCACCTATGACACTACCACTTCCACAACTAATAACCCAACACCATCTATACCAAACCCTATGAATATTACTCTAACTAGTAAGAAAACGTTTTATCCCACCTTATCGCATGAGAAGAAATATATTTTTTAGAGTTTTTTATTTCATTAATATTAGGAAAGCATGAAGAAATACGAAGTAATAGAACAAAGACAAGTGATATTTTAAGTTTGAGAACAAGGTCTAATGATAGATCATTGATAGATTTTAATAAACTCCAAAAGTTGTTAAACAAAAAATAAATATAATTTCTTTATTTGTATAATATCAGTTTGGCAAAAAAATATTAAAATAAAGAAGAGACCCTTGCTGGGTTCTAATCTTTTATTTTTACATGCTTTCTTATATGATTTTTTATAATAGACTTGTAATTAGAAGAGACTATTGAGTAAACTTTATTAATCTATACTATTACAGTTACTATTAGAATTTTAGTATAAGGCCTTTTTCCTTTCTAGTTTGAAAAAAGAAAAAAAAAGTGATTATTTTCTGTTCAGATATAAGTACATATAGTGATTACCCGCTTTCTAGCTTCGAGCAAGATTTGTGAAAAGGTGGGCATTTACACAATCACGTATTAATATGCGCTAATTAAATGATCTGAATTTTTATATGTTTTCTTTCTGCTCTTAAATCATAATAATCTGGTTCATCATCAGAACAAGTGAAATTCTCATTATCATTATTATTCTCATATTGATCATCCTCATCACCAAAATACATATCATCATAGATATTTATCTTAGCTAGAGTTACTACATTTGATGTTGCCTTGTTCTGTCTTTCTTTCTCTATCCTAGTCTCTTCTTTCTCAAAAGCTTTCATGATCATTTTGTCAAAGTCATCCTCAGCCTGTGTTGCTGAAACCAAGGGTTTTGCTTGCTTCTCCAATATATTATCCTAATCATTTGAAATTTCCTCTTCAGAATCGATAATAGGGCCTCCCGATCATCTGGTAATTCAGTATTTAGATTTTCAGTAAAATAATCAATAATAGTTTAAATTTGACTATCAGATAATTCCGATATAGAATTTGCACTATACGTTGTGATATATTTGATTTTATCAATTCCTATTTTCTCAAATATTTTGTATATGCTTCTTGCTCTTTGAGTTTGTTTTAGTAATGTGTTACATTTAGTACCAAGTTGCACAATAATAAAATCATAGATTTGCCCTTTTGCTTTTTTCTCACCAATTCGATTAATTTTCATAATATTTTTTACTTGATTATCGAACTCTATAACATAATGATACCAACATAAAATTTTATCTTGATTGGCTCTAATTCTTTGCTTTTTTGCATCGCAAGCTTTCTAATATAAACAGGCTAAATTTATTAATAGTTTGCTTTTTGCTACAGATAGCATAACTACAGAATTTTTTTCATCAGTATTTTTAGTGATGGGAAGTAGGTTTCTTGTTATGGAAATTTTAATCATATGATTTTTCTCAGTTACTGAAATAGCAGTGAAATCAAATACATCCTGTACTGCTTCTCTCTTCTTATGTAATTGAGATTTATTGTCCTTTATTACAGAAGAAATATCCACTTTAGTGAACCTAGATAAGTTCTGGGTAGCTAACTTACATAATAATTTATTTTCTTTATTTCTCTGTATAATCTCATTACTAACCTTTTTCTTAAGCACTTCATCTAAGAAAGAATCTGTTTTCTTATCTTCTGATGACTTGATATCTGCGTTATTACTAGATGTTCTATTTATAGACTGACCTATTACAGGATCAGATATATCATGCGAAGTGAAGCACCTCTCGGGCTCAGCATCTAACTGTGATACAACTGTTACCTCTAATATCTTTTCTTCTCTAGAGTACGAGTTCTGCACATTAGTAACATACTGTAGTTGCTAAAACCTCGTGAGATTGGAGGAATCAAAATCATGTTTTAATTTGACTAATTCAGCTTTGAGCTCTGCATTCTCAGCTGAAATATCTGCACTTTTTTTCTCCAATTTCTCAATTCTGAACTTGTACTTAGCATTCTCAGCATCACGCCTAGCATTCTCTTTATTAATCTGTCTTAATTTTGCATTCTTATTCTTAAGTTCTTCATTCTCATCTTCGATCTCAGCAACCTTCTTCCTAAGCTTACAAATCTCAACTAAGAGCTTGGTATTTAATTCTCTTAATGAATTGTTGAATTGAGTGCTTGACATGATCAATAAAATTTTATACAAGAATATGAATTATTCAATATTATGTTGCAAATGTAAAGATGAACTTTATTAATACAGAAATAAAAAACAAATACAAAGTCAGTTGACTTTGTCAACCTGATACATGACAAATTTTTTATGTTAATACATGCAAAAAATAAATACAAATATTCGGGACTAGCCTGTGATACATATTATTTTTTGATATATATTGATAACAGTATAATAAAATAAATATATATGCAAAAGAAACATAATTATATATACAAATCAGCCACCGAGACTGGCTCTATTGTATAGCAAAAAATAAAATGCATAAATTCTATCACAATCATCGCTAAAAACTTACTGTAAATTTTATTATTTATCAACTTGCTAGTATCATTAAAAACAAATTATATTGAATATATATACAGCTTACATATATAATTGTTTTTTTTCTACTTTATCCTCAAATATTATGCTAGCTAATTATTTGAGATCTATACTCTCACCCAAGTATTTAGATTTTAACAACTCCAACTAATAAACATCATATTTATGACTCAGCTTCTTCCTATCTTTAGCCTCTGGTGGCCAATTAATATGTTTATGATTTATGAAAGATGGATAGCACATAATTTCTCCTTCACCGGCCTAATCAAAATCTATTAACATTCCTAGATATTGGCTTTGAGATTTGTTAACCAAAATGTTGGAATCACAGAGGTTAGCAAAGACAATATTTTCCTTATGCAGTTTGTCGATAGCTTCTATGATGTCCTTGAAAACTGCTTTATATTTATCATGACTAAGTGAGTTGTACTCGTAAAGTTGCTTAGCCTCAACATAATCCATAACTACTATGTAAAATCTATCCACCACTTCTTTGTTAATGTAAAGTAATTTTGATGCCTTTTCAATTTTACTACACAGTTTGTGTACCCTTTGATTGTAATTCCATATGAATTTAACAATAATTTTCTGCCATCTTTTGCTATAGCTTTCCAAAGAAGCTTGTTAGGTTGATTCACAAGTTTTCTCTTATATGTAAATTCCATGATTGTATTCTGTTGTTCGGATAGAAAAAAAATTCTTGTGAATTTCATGGATCTGTAGGCGTATCTAATGATCCATAATACTCTGTTAACTTATTAACTCCCAAGTGCAAGGCTTTGAAAAGCTGTGTTACTCACTCTGTGTAAGCTTGATTGTTTGTAGGAATAAGAGGTATGAAGTTTATCAAAGGATCTATAATAGGTTTCTCAACATATATAGCTCCTAAAATACATACCCAAGGTCTAGCCAAGCATAAAAAAAAAGATAGCCAGTTGCACCATTGAAGCACTTCCCATTTTTCTTTTAGGTATAATATTTTGCATAAGAAGCCTCAGCCTATACAGTTGGATCACAGCCACCAGTACCAATTTCATTTTTCATCTTAACAAGAAGGCATAATACACTTTTTGAATAGATGTTATATTCCAATACTCCATTATTTAAAGAATTATCATCTAAATGAATTATTTTTAATTCTTTACTGAATAGTTTACAAATTTTTTTGTTAAATATTTGCTGATGTTTAGATTCACTCTGATATATTTTTGCTATTTTGTGAATAAACTCAAGGGACCAATTATAATATTCTTTTTCTATTTCTAGCTCTTCATTATAGTAATTATGCAGGAACTGATTAAAAATGTTATGGTAAACTCGTATTAGTAGACCAATATATTCTGAAGGGCAGTGAATAAGTAACTGCTAGTTCTTAGTTTGATAATCTATAAAATTGTTAAGAAGTGCAAAAGTTGATAGGGCCGAATAACTCTGAATCTTTTTTACATTTTTTTGCTATTCTGTAAAGATTGGAAAAGTTCAGTCAGGGATTTTACCAAATATGGAAATCGATTCTGGAATAATCTGCAAAAATTTGATTGGCTCTTTATCGACGCTCTTTACCATTTTTTTCAATAATTCAATTGCAAATTTGAGATTTTTATAATATTTACATATAATTAAAAACTATACAAATCGATAGTAAAGAATCTCTAGTTTAAGGATCAATCAATTACTTTTCAGGATCAACGATTCTTAAAAATGTAAATGAGACCTGAAAATACAAGAATTTTAGTGCTAAACTTACTTGTAAAGCTAAGACTTTTTTTTTTTTTTTTTAGTCTTTCGTACTAAAATCCACTACGATGTCATCCTCATCACGACCAAAAGCCATAGAACTTCCCTGCATATTTAAAGAATTAGTTAAGAAATATCGTGGAATCGGTCTAAGCATTTGCGAAATGGCGGCATCACAAACTTGGAGACATGCTGATAGTAAATTGACAGCTGATCGGCTCCCCTTATTTCACGCTTTTATACCTGAACTTGTAGATCTTCAGTCCCGCTTGAGTTCTTTTTCAATCTGCCAAATTAATTACAATCAAGTTGTTTCTAAAAATCATTTTTATTAGCAGGTATCAAATAATTCGTCTTCCTCATCTTCTATTCACCAAGTTAAGAAATTTTGATTCGATACTAATTCTAACGATAATTCTAATTCTAATTCTAGGGTTGATGAAGAGATAACTAATATTAAAGAGCCATGTTCATCTGTAGAGTCTAATAAAGCTGAGAACTTATTCGATAGAGGTCAAGTTGAAAGAGAAGATAGTGAAGACGTAACACACTTCACTAACGCGATTACAAAGTTGCTGGTACGAATAGAAATTCAAAATGGGGAAATAACAGAGTTGAGAAAAAAAATAAGCGAATATTGTGAAGAGATAGTTCATTTAAAGGATCTATATCGAAAACAATGTGAAATAAATGAGAAACTTATTGAACAGTGGAATTCTCGACATAGCAATCAAGATAAACGTATTAAAGAAGTTATAACTATCACGCAACTTGAAAGAGAATCTCTATATGAAGATATTGAATCTCTGATCAGAGATAATAATAGGTTTTCATTAGAAAATTTATTAAGTTATACACCACAAACATGGCTAAGTAAACGTAATCAAGTTGTTGTAAAATTTATTGAAACACTAACTCAAAATAATTATGATATAGGTTCCTTGAATATCGAGAAAATTTTCAAAAGGGTAATGGCTGTCGATTCAATATATGGATCTAGGCACGGGAAATATGTATCAGAAATAAATCTTGTGGCATCGGCTATTAAATATTCTATAGCACGATCCAAAACTATTATTAATATTGATAACCATATGACAAGTTTAGGTTATATTTAATTTTAATTTTAATTTTTTTTTTTTTTCTTTTTCTTTTTTTGACAATCAATTTTGTATTAAATAATAATGCTTAGGAGGTTATTCTCGTTTTCAAAGCTGGCTAGACGAACTTTCTGAAAGAGAAGAACCTCTACCTAACGGGCTTTTATTCATAGCGTTTGATAACGAGCAGAAAGAACAGCGCAATTACCTTGATCGAGGATTAAATGCAGTGATTTTCCATATCGTCACTAGTTTTGTTGCTTTTAACATGGAATCTCAAAATCGGATTCAATATACTAACACACCTTGGGCGTTTAATTCTTTTAATAGGATACCATATGAAAATCTTTTTGAGCTTACATCAGAAATGCAAGAAGCAATGGATCAAGAATTATACACTTATCTTGCTGAAATTCTTGAATCACTGTGTGAAGAAAAATTATCCGCGACTAATGAAATCGATTCTTTTGTAGCTAAAATAGGATCGAGTAGCCACTGTGATAAATGGTGCCTTAACTGTGGAGAGCGTAATATTGACAATCGAAAGCAAGTTTGTCTAAGGTGCAAAACTCGTCTACCAACATTGTTAGAATTACAAAAACAGAATACTCCAGAGTTAGAGAAGAGCATAAAAGACCGATCAATTACCTTTAAGCAGTATTGTATTGAAAATGAAGCTAAATTACCTGCCGTGCCAAGGATTAGTATTATACAGAAACCATTTGCTGATCAGGGCGTTAATATTCCGGAAATTTTTGTACCTGATCCTCTTAATATTAACCTGAATTCAACTACTAATATTGAAAAAGTTCTTTCCCATATTAAAGAAATTTCAGGAATCGAAGATGGAAGACGCAAATGGGTAGCTGTTACGTGTGACAGAGTTCCATATCAACGTATAATTAAAATAAAAGAAAAGTACCCTTGGCTTGTTCTTATTCCTGGTCAACTGCATGAAGAAATAAACATGCTTCGAGCGTATGTTGAATTGAATTGGTAAGTTTATCATGCATATTCGTAAAAAAAGCCACGATTGAGTTAATTATAAGTCAAATGTTAAATAACGGCTCGAATTCAAATTGTTTAATTTTATAAGCTATTGATATTATTTAAGGAATGTTGATTTATCTTAAATTATTTAATCTTTTATCTAATTTTAATTCGTATCATTTTAAAGGGATATTGACCTTAAACAATTTGCAATATGCCAAGGGTATAAAACTGAAAATCAACTCGCTTATTTCAAGAAATGTCACGATCATCACAAATCTTGGGATTCAATCTGCAACATTTATCGTCAAGCAATAGCTATGGAATTGATGTGGCCATACGTCAAGAATCATTCTAATCCGTCGGTAGAGGAATATCTAGTCTGGGTAAAGGAGCAAAAGGATCTGGTTTATCAATTAAAATTTGAACAGGTAGAATTATTATATTTTGGTTAAAAATTCAATATATTTACCATTAATATTTCTAAATTTTCTTAAATAGATCTTCACTTATCTTCAAGCCATAAAGTATATAAAATATTAAAATATTTCTTTATTTAATTAAAAAAATACTTAGCATTAATATAAAAAAAAATTATACATATACATAGTATATTAGTATTATATTTAAATCTTTATATTAAGTAATTTCAAACTTTTATCTAGACTATTATTCAGATTATTATACAGACCTAACCTGGTATATATTTTTCAGATATAATATTAAAAATAATAAAGCAGCACTATTGATACCAACAAGAAAAATATTTGGTGTAGCAAAATCCAGAAAAAAAAAACAAGAATATAAAAAAAATTAAAAAAAACAACAAATAACAGCTATAAGTTTTTTTTTTTCTTTTTTCTTTATATTAATATATTATCTATATGACTATTGGCAGTGTTGTATATAGAACAATTTTGATTAATTTTAAATATTTTTTTAAATTAAAATTACTCAAAATTTTATTAAGATAATCTATCTTAATTTTTTCATAAATAAATCCAGTATTTAAAAAAATATATAATTATATATATATTTTTAAATTATTTTATTAATTATTTAAACTTGAAATATAGGTTTGAACAATTTTGAACAATCTTAAATATTAGATATTTTACATAGTATAGATATATCCTATATACAACACTGACTATTAGTATAACTAAATATATTTTTTAGAAAATAAATCAGAAAAAAAAGAGGTTTGCTTATCTCTATCAAACAAAAAGTATCTAACTAATAAATCTTTTTCTAACTAATATTTTAGAGTATTAAGCTCTAAACAATATAAAAAAAATTGTAGCCAAAAATAGATACCACAGTGATAAAATGTCAAAAACTAACAATAAACTTGCCAATGAAAAAAGAAGAAAAAGAATTCAATATCTTCTTGATAATAACCACAACAACCATGTTGTGAAGATTATAAAAAAGAGATGGTAGTCAAAAAATAATTGTTATAATAGATAATTTATATCTATATAAATACCTGTACTAATATACTTTATATACTTTTAAGTTAAAGCAAATTTTATTGCTATACAAAAATACTGCACTAGCACAAAATTATAATAAGCTGAAATGAAATTAATAGGAAACTGATATCACTAATAACTTAATACTACTAGCTAGAGATTCCAGCTAGTGTATGTTTTTTAAAATTATGTTTCTCTTATTATTTCTAGTATAAATTCTTCTAGTACTAATACCTCTAAATATTTTGGATCTGGTACTGCTGCTTCTAATATACATCTTAGTTCTGGTGCTGCTCTCAATAATAATGTTACTCCTAGTAATGATTATTATGTTGTTTTAATAATAATTATTATACTGCCTCTAAAAATAATTGTTATGCTACCCCTAATACTAATTGTTACACAGCTTCTAATACTAATCATTATGCTGCCCTAATACTAATTATTATGCTACTCCTAATACTATTTATTCTGCTGCTCTTACAAATAATCATTCTACTGCTCTTGTTATTGATCTTGATAATTCTAATACAATTCATTGATTATAATATTATATCTTTTTTTTTTTTTTTACTATTAAGATAATCTTTTTGGCCAAAAACTGTTTTATTAGATATTTGAAACTTATTACGATTATGATAAAAGTACAACTAGCCA